CCCCCACCCCGTCCACCTTATCAGCCTGAAACACACAAAACCCCCACCGTCTTCACCCTATCTGTGTCATCAGATCCTTTGGGGTCACAGCTGTGAGGCAAGGAACACAGCCTCACTTTGATGATCTTTATTCAACCATCTAATTCAGAGAATCCTCCTTCGCACTTCTTATTAAATTCACAAATTATTTATTGAATCAGCCAGAGAGAACCAATACTGTACAGCTGTAAAAAATTCTCTTCCAGTATTAACTCTGCTACCACTTTATTTGGAAAATGCATTATATCTTCTTTGATTATAAAGTAATATTATGGGTTCTGCCATGATACAATACCTTTGTTTTTTTTTTAACAGATCAGTTAATATATCAAATATTCTCTCATGCTGTGTACACTTTGAAGTTTGGGATATTTTGTAGTAATATTTAAAGACCTAACATTATTTTGAGTAATGCTTACTGCCACAACATTTCGTGCCACAGCTTGAAACTAAGATCATCTTAAGTTAAAAAATGCATTATAGCGTTTTGGTCAAACACTATTCATATTTGTGGGCGGCTGTGGCTGAGTAGTAAGGGGAGTTTTCCTGTAACCTGTGGGTTGCTGGTTTAATCCCCCTTTCTATCTGTCTCAGTCTGTCATGATCTATGTCTTTGCTTTAGTTTTCTAGTGTTTCAGTGTTCTCTGCCCTGCTCCAGCCCCACCCATGCTCACCTGTTTCCTCTTGTCTCTCCTCCAGGCGTTTCTTGTTGTCCTTAATTAGTTTGCCTTTATATTCCGTGTCCTGTCTTCAGTGTTTGTCCGATCATTGTTTTGTGCTGTGCTGTCTTCCGTGTTCCTCCTGAGAGCTTCTAGTAAGTTTTTGCTGCCACAACAGCAAAATTGTTGTTTGTTGTTTGATTGTTGTTGTCCTTTTTGTTCATAAAATAAACCTTCTGTTACATTTTGGATTTTGCCTGCACTCTGGGTTTTTTCCCTGCCTACACCTCACATATTGATCAGACCAAGTACCCAGCCTGCACGCAAAGATTTTTCTGGTTTTGATTATAAGGAGTTGTTGGAGAACCTTCAGCAGCAACAGAGGCAGCTGGATGATCTGGCTGCTCGTTTCCCCAGGCTCTGCCCATTGAGAGCAGCACAGCCTGGTTGCCCACCCCTGTTGTTCCTGGGTCAACCGAGTCTGCTGGGTCACCTGAGTCTTCGGGTTCTTCTGAACCACCTGAATCTGTTCCTGTGTCTTCTGAGTTTCCTGAGTTGGTGGTTTCAGTCCCTGTTCCAGAGTTGGTGGTCCCAGTGTCTCCTGAGTTGGCGGTCCCAGTGTGTCCTGAGTTGGCACTCCCAGTGTCTCCTGAGTTGGCACTCCCAGTGTATCTTGAGTTGGCGGTCCTAGTGTCTCCTGAGTTGTCGAGTCCCGAGTTGGCGGTCCTTGAGGTTCGTGAGTTGGCTGTCGTTGCCTCCACATCTCCTGGGACGTCACCCACTGCCTTCTCATCACCTGGGTCGTCACCCTTTGCCTCCTCATCGCCTCTGTCACCTGCGTTCACCGTCATTGACACACTGGCTCCGTCAATCTCTGCCGGCTCTTCGTCTGCTCCCGTCTCCTCCCTTGGCTCTTCATCTGCTCCCGCCTCCTCCCATGGGTCTTTGTCTGCTCCCATCTCCTCCCTTGGCTCTTCGTCCGCTCCCGCCTCCTCCCTTGGCTCCTTGTCTGCTCCTGCCTTCTCCCTTGGCTCCACGTCTGCTCCCGCCTCCTCCTTTGGCTCCATGTCTGCTCCCGCCTCCTCCTGTGGCTCTAAGTTTGATCCTGCCTCCTCCCGTGGTTCCACATCTGTTCCAGTTGGGCCTCGCTGTAGATGGTCACCTGGCCTTCGTCCGGATCTCTTGCCCCATGTTGGATGGTCTTTGGGCCATCCCCTTGAACTGTGTGTTTTATCTTTGTGCTTTGTTGTGTTGTGTCCTTGTTTCCCCGAGTCTCGCCCCTCTCCTTTTTTCAATGTCTGGAGCCGTTATTAAGGGGAGGGTCCTGTCATGATCTGTGTGTCTTTGCTTTAATTTTCTAATTTTTCAGTGTTCCTCTGTGTATCTCTGCCCTGATCCAGCCCCACCCATGCTCGGGTTTCCTCTTGTGTCTCCTCCAGGTGTTTCTTGTTGTCCTTAATTAGTTTGCCTTTATATTCTGTGTCCTGTCTTCAGTGTTTGTCTGATCATTGTTTTGTGCTGTGCTGTCTTCCGTGTCCCTCCTGAGTCCTAGTAAGTTTTTGCTGCCACAACAGTCCTCTTTTAGTTCTTAAAATAAACATTTTGTTACATTTTGGATTTTGCTTGTGCCCTGGGTTATTTCCCTGCCTGCACCTCACACAGTCACTCTGTCCAAGAGCCGGACGGCTTTGTGCACACTCTGACTTCCTAACTCAAACAAGGAAGACAGTTGTGGTTCTCTTTGGAGAATCTCAGCTCTGGGGCTGTAAATTTCATCCCACGAGCCAATTAGGGTGGATTTTACAGCCAGGGAGCCTACAAGTCTGTCGGTTTCCCACCCGAGGCTTCGAGGCTTCAAGCCTCCAAGCGTGTGTTTTTACTTTCCGATGGGAAGATGATTTTATTTTGATGGAGAAACAGGATACGGCTTGCATTTTTCTGGCTTGGCTGAAACAGACGCAAAGTTACCTGAAAATAACACCTGTTCGCCAATGACCGGTAAGCAAGCCGACAACAGTTCACTGACTGATCGGAGGCAAGCCAAGTTTGATGTGTTTGGGTGACGTGTCCTGTGGAACTAGTCGAGAAAAGACGTGCAGATCCGGTTGACTCACACTTTGGTAAAAGTAAAGTAGTAGAAATACTAACATTACTTTCCTCCTTTTCTTGTGTCTTGATTTGCCAAAACTTAAGCTAAAGTGCCAGAAAAATTGTTTGGTTGTTTAACATCAGAACTGACGTTTTACTGTTCTATTATAAGTAATCTGAGTGACGTGGATTGAAAGTCGGACGCGAGTTTTTATCCCATTAATTCTGACTTGTTATAGAAAACTGAATGCCCACAATTAAGTGTAACTTATATGTTTAATTTGTGTAAATAAATGATTGCATAGTCATTATGAATCAAATTGAACTTGTCTGAGCATTCCACTTATTGTCATTTTTCATATCGCACAGTCAAGATATTAACATAGTGAGAAATACCTTGGTAAAAATTTTCCTCATAACCCTGTGTATGAGAGATGTGGGAAAAAGCTTATTTCATACTAGGCTCTCTCCCACAGAAGTATGCATGAACAAGAATTATCATACTCAATACAATTCCTTTTTTATTTATTTTTTATTTTATGATCAAACTGATTTTTTGTCTTTCAATTGTTTATTTAGTTTTACTACCAAATGTTCTTGGCTTTTTGTCCACACACAAAGTTACACAATGTTGATAATGTTAAGAGGTGTGTGTGTGTGTG